TTCGCCAGAAGTGGCTTAGTCATGCTGGCCACATGACCCGGAAGCTGTACGCCGGCTCCCTCGGCCAATAAAGCGAGATGAGCGTCGCAACCCCAGAGTTGGCCACGACTGGACCTAATGGTCAGGGGTCCCTTTACCCTTTACCCTAAAATCTTGTAGGTTCAGTTGTGTAGGCCGAATTGGAAGATTCTGTGCCAGAAAAAAGTGCTGTCAATGTGTTTTTGCCATTAATACAGATTATATTCAGGTGTGCATTTGTGTGCAAGTATGCATTTTATGAATGGATAAATGCACACTGTGTTGTTGTATTGGGAATCTGCTTCTTAATGAGAGGCATATAGAAAATTATTAGTATCAATTTGCAGGGTGCAATCAGTATTTCTTCATTCCCAACATGAAGAAAAAGGCTTTACACACATAAGACACATATAGAGTATATTTCATATGTCCTTTAAAAAAAAGAAGAACTTTACTGCACTGGAGGGAAGGAACTTTTGCACATGGTCAGAGGCATTCTGATACAAGATACCAGAATTATTTGTGGGGGACGGGGCAGAAAAGGTGACAACTTTTTTTAAAAATACACCTGAAATTGTGGTTTTCTTGCTCGTATTCATCCAACACCTTAATATATAAGCATGTCAATTTAATAGCTGAGCTAGATTATGTCAAAACTGCTCTTGATTATTTTTTCACTGATTTTGGTGGAATCTACACACATAAAAAAACGCTGTGAAAATGCTTTTTTAGAAACGTTTTGAAAAATATATTGAATTTGCCATAGCTCACCATCTCCATCTAGTGTCAAGTTTGTATATTGCACTTTACAACACAATTGAAACATTTTATTTGCAGCTGTATAGCTGAGTCCTTTATCTACACAAGGCTATTACCCAATGAGACAAATTCCAATGAAACTGCCTGTCCAGTCCAGAAGAAAGAGTAGAAATCAATGCTAGGGCATGTTGAATTTTTCAACTTTTAATTTCCCCAAATGAGGGTGCAAAAAATTTGTGAAATGACTTTGGAATTCAAAATATATTTTGGATAAATTACCAATTTAGTTTTGCTTGGTTGGTGAGTAAAGCGTGTGTAAAATGGTGCAGAAATTGTTAAAAATGATTACCAGGTACTGGCAGTTATATATAGTGGTACCTCAGGTTAAGTACTTAATTCGTTCCGGAGGTCCATACTTAACCTGAAACTGTTCTTAACCTGAAGCACCACTTTAGCTAATGGGGCCTCCTGCTGTTGCCGTGCTGCCAAGGCACGGTTTCTGTTCTCATCCTGAAGCAAAGTTCTTAACCTGAAGCACTATTTATGGGTTAGTGGAGTCTGTAACCTGAAGCGTATGTAACCTGAAGCGTATGTAACCTGAGGTACCACTATACAGTGGTACCTCAGGTTACAAACCCTTTGGGTTACAAACACATCGGGTTACAAACTCCACTAACCCATAAGTAGTACCTCGGGTTGAGAATTTTATCCCAGGATGAGAACGGAGATCGCGTGGCAGTGGAAGGCCCCATTAGCGAAAGGCCGCCTCAGGTTAAGAACGGTTTCGGGTTAAGAACGGACCTCCAGAACAAATTAAGTTCGTAACATGAGGTACCACTGTATTAATATTAATGTATTAATATTTTGCCTTTCAGAAGGTTAAATTCAATTTCTTTGTTTTTCTAAAAGCAGTTTATGTGCTTCTTCATCAAACGTAGACTTACAAAGCTAAAAGTTGTGCAGTCACAAAAATAATGTTGTGCGGTCACAGCAGATTAAATTCCTCATGCTCAAAAATGTGTTTTTAAGACCCCACACTGAAGAAATGTGTCAAAATTATCTTACTTTTTCCATGTATAACACGCCCCCATATATAAGATGACCCCTATTTTTGGGGACTGCAACAACAAATTTTGAGGAGAAAATTGCCCAGAGTTATTGAGCTTTGTCTGCATACTTGCAGCCAAAACTCCACCTGCCCACTTGACGCAACCACAGACAATTGCACACATAAAGGTAAAGGTAAAGGGACCCCTGACCATTAGGTCCAGTCGTGGACGACTCTGGGGTTGTGGCGCTCATCTCGCTTTATTGGCCGAGGGAGCCGGCGTACAGCTTCTGGGTCATGTGGCCAGCATGACTAAGCTGCTTCTGGCAAACCACAGAGCAGCGCACGGAAATGCTGTTTACCTTCCCGCCGGATTGGTACCTATTTATCTACTTGCACTTTGAGGTGCTTTCGAACTGCGAGGTTGGCAGGAGCAGGGACCGAGCAACGGGAGCTCACCCCGTCACGGGGATTCGAACCTCCGACCTTCTGATTGGCAAGTCCTAGGCTCAGTGGTTTAACCCACAGTACCACCCATTGCACACATACCTCTCCACTAAAGTAAATCAACTGCCCAATTGCCACGGCTGCAGCAATATTCTGTGTATATTTTTTCTATGGAGAAAAATATCATCTTATACAGAGGGAAATACGCTCTCCCCTCCTCTCCTTCTGCGTGCTGTTCTGAAGGTTCTATTGATCCTCATTGCTAAGTGGGACCTGCACTTTCAGAGACGGTCTGAGCATCGGGGGTCAGGGGTAGGCAAATTAAGGCCAGGGGGCCGGATCCAGCCCAATCGCCTTCTAAATCCAGCCTGTGGATGGTCCGGGAAGCAGCGTGTTTTTACATGAGTAGAATGTGTCCTTTTATTTAAAATGCATCTCTGGGTTATTTGTGGGGCATAGGAATCCGTTCATTAATTTTTTCCCCAAAATATAGTCCGGCCCCCCACAAGGTCTGAGGAACAGTGGACCGGCCCCCTGCTGAAAAAGTTTGCTGACCCCTGAGCTAGATGGACACTTGGTCCAGCAAGCTTAGCATATTGTTAATGCATGGCAGAAGTTTATGCATAGTTTATAATTTTCACTTCTGAAGATTGGAGGTGCAGGTGTGGTTTTTTGTTTTGTTTTGTTTTTGTTATGTACTGAAGTTCTCACCCTGGGCCAGCAGGGGGATACTGTCGATAGTTCAGGTCCACATATGCAAATAAGGGATCGAAAGTGACGTTCAGTGATTGGATAGTTACAGAAAGTTGTTACAGTTACGTTGTACTGGAGCTCTATATAAGCAGGCTGGCTGAACCCTTCAGTTCAGTTCTGTTCTGGCCTGTGAATAAACAAGAGCTGTTTGAAGAATCGCTGTGTCGTCTGATATGTTCACCCACAACTTAACAGTTTTGTTTTGTTTTGTAATGGGGAACACCAGCTTGGGCATTTTATCCCTTTTGAGTAACGAAGAATTCTGTTCCATAGGGAGATGAGGGGCCAGTTTGCTGTTTCTGTCATCTGGGCTGCTCAGTCCGTTTCACGAGTCAATAAATAAACTGCAAGGGAAACTTTAATTGTGTCCGATAGGAAGGAAATCAGGCCCTTCAGTTTGCGAGTGTGACTCAACAAGAGGGAAGGATTGTTAATTAAATGTGACTACATCAGCTGGGGCCAACTTTTGCAGTACTAGGAAATAAATGAAGCTGACATGTACTGTGTGGGACTGTGTCAGTCAGCCTCGAAATGTAAGCACTTTCCTTGCTTCCTTCACCCCTTCCATTAGCTTCAGCCCGTTCCAGTGTAGCTGAAATGTATGCCAAACAGGTCCCTAAAGTCACTTGATGTTTTCCTGCACAGACTCCAAGAGGATGGTGGCAGTCTTTCAGAAAGAGAATCAAAAAAGGGGGCGGGCAAGGTTTTCCTGCGAGAGAAGGGTTGGGATGAACTGCTCGGCTCTCATTCATTTCAGTGGAGCTCCTCCCAGTGGAGGTTGCGATCTAGATTTTCAATTAAAGTACTTCTAATTCTAACTGAGAATCTGGGGCACAACCTCATTGAAATGAACATGAGCCATGCAAGATTACTGGAAAGATTGTGGGTTTTTTTAAACAAAACAAAACAAAACCTCACAACGTAACATAACTAGGGTGGAATCTAGACACATATTAAAAAACCGCTGTGAAAATACTTTTTTAAAAAACGTTTTGAAAAATATATTGAATTTGCCATGGCTCACCATCGCCATCTAGTGTCAGATTTGTATAATCCACACTTACGACGTCTGATTTGCAGCTGTAGCTGAGTCCTAGGTTGGGGTGGAGGAGGTTGATGTTACAGATCAGAGGTCAGCAAACTTTTCCAGCAGGAGGCCAGTCCACTGTCCCTCAGACCTTGTGGGGTGCCAGACTAGATTTTTTTTTGGGGGGGGGGAGAACAAATTCCTATGCCCCACAAATAACCCAGAGATGCATTTTAAATAAAAGCACACATTCTACTCATGTAAAAACACGCTGATTCCTGGACCATCCGCGGGCCGGATTTAGAAGGCGATTGGGCCGGATTCAGCCCCCGGGCCTTAGTTTGCCTACCGATGTTACAGATAGTAGACAGTAGGTGACTATTACACTCATGTAGCCTCCTTTGTGCAGCTTAACATGTTTATCCGTTTTTTAAAAAATAATAATTTATGTTTATATTGCATTACAGATATCGATAGCTATATCAAATATAATACAAAACCACCTACAAATATATTACAATGATTGCTCAGACGCCCAGCTGTCAATCTGTGTAAGAGGATGGCTTTAGTGATTCACATTTGCACCCACTTCAAAGAATGTACACCCTGGATTGTATGTTGCAAAATGGCCACCTTCCACTGCTGCATATGAAGGCAGCAGGCTACATGTGTGCAAAACTCCAGGCATGTTCAGTCCCGACCAAACCAAACAATGGAACAGAAAATCTGCCAAAGGGAAGTGTTTTACTATGCATATATTTTTTAACCATGTGCATTTAAAAAAAAAAAATCAGGAAAAATACCAGTATTCTTAAAACATTCACAAGGCAATGTTTTCTGTCCAAAGTTGGGCTTGGGGAAAAGCAGCCATTTGGTAATCCTACTTTCTGGATTCTGCAGTAAATGTAATGATGAGTTTCTAATTGTGCTTTTCTTTCTCCTCTGTAGAAATGGACTGATCTCTGTGTGACGATGTGGAGCTTTTGACAGCAGCCTGCACCTCTCAGGACCATGTGACAGGTGCCATTTGAGATAGTTTCAGAGTAAGTACTTAGCTTGCCTGTCCTTTCTGTCATATCTTCATTTGGGAGCCTCCCATAGCTGTCAAGTGTCCCTAATTTGGCGGGACAGTCCCTTATCCTAGGGCCATGTCCCGCTGCTGTCCCTTATTGATGATATCCCTTAAATAAGCTACTGAAGGTAATGGGGCCCTTTCTATGTCCAGCTGTGCTTTGTCAACAACAAATTATTGCTGTTTTTTTGTGTTGAATATATGCTATATGGTAATTTATAGGACCTAATAGGTATCTAAAGCCATTTGCTACAAAAAAATATGTATTTTATCAAGGTAATTGTTGATCCCTTATTTTGGCTGCTGATCCCTTATTTTCGAGGCTGCTGGTCCCTTATTTTCAAATCTGTAAGTTGACAGCCATGGAGCCCCCAGCAGTAAAAGAGTGCTAAGTCAAAACTCATTTCCAGACCAGAGTTATTTCCTCTGAGATCTGCAGGGCCCCAAAGATTCAGCGGGAAAGCATTTGTTGGGACATCTGAGGACTGTGGCGGCAGGAGGGTTGCACCTCAATGCCTCTTGCACTGTGAGGCAGGATCACCCATTTGGCACCCACAAAGGCCTTCACTGCTGTCCCTGATCAGGGTCCCCAGATTCTTGAGCTTTCATTTAAAATACCGTATTTTTCGCTCCATAAGACGCACTTCCCCTCCTAAAAAGTAAGGGGAAATGCGTGTGCGTCTTATGGTGCGAATGCAGGCGGGAGGCTCTGCTCAGCGCTCCCTTTCATGAGCCGCGTGGAGCGTGTGCGCGGCTCTTGGGGGCTTTTCCCTGAGGAGGGAGAAGGGCATAAAATTTATTTATGTTTATATTGCATTACAGATATTGATAGCTGTATCAAATATAATACAAAACCACCTACAAATATATTACAATGATTGTTCAGTTGCCCAACTGTCAGTCTGTGTAAGATGACGGCTTTAGTGATTCACATCTCCCTCTCCCTCCTTGGGGAAAAGCCTGCAAGTGCTACACACAGGCTCCACACGGCTCGTGAAAGGGAGTGCTGAGCAGAGCCTGGGATGCATACAGGCTCTGCTCAGCGCTCCCTTTAAATAATATTTTTTTTCTTGCATTCCCCCTCTGAAACTAGGTGCGTCTTATGGTCAGGTGCGTCTTATGGAGCGAAAAATACGGTAACAACAATAAGCATTCAGTCCTTTTAGAAAGAAAGTTATCAAGCAAAATGTGCGGGTATCCTTCGAAGCAATTTCTGCGAAATGAGTCAGCCTGCCAGTGTTTTTAGCCAATGAGTGAAGTCAGAGCTCCTCCAGCCCTATGAACTGCAGGCCTCTTGTTCCTTTCGATGACTCCATCCAGTCTGCCTTGTTGCCTTCTGTTCTTGGAACTCTTTCTCAACACCAGTAGGATAGCACAACTGTGCTCTTCCTTCTCAAACGCTACCTTAAGCAGCCATCCTTTCCTCTGTCTTCCATTTTCCCATGGCCGGCTTTTAGGCTACCAGTTCCCTCAGGCAGAGCTTGATCTTCTTTACCCCCATGTTACTCTGTCAGGTACCATCTATGCACTGATGCCATATTACAAAAAACAATTTGGTGAACATCTAGCTAGATCCTAGAGGGTGGCGTAGCTGCTTCCCACCGCTGATAAGAGTTCAGAGAATGAAAGAATGAGATTGATTTATCTGTCGCCTCTGTTCTGTCTTGCAGGCCCAGCGCACCCTTCACTGAACGTAAGTACCCCATAACATTTCAAATCCTGCTTTCCGTTGGGTTGTGTATTAGTTGTTGATTCCAACCGTGAGCTGCTCTGTGAGCTGTTGATTGGCAGAATGGCGAGGAATAAATGTGCAGACAAATAATTAAAAATAAAATAAAAATATATTATAGAAGATTGGCTTCATGGAGGATAGGCCTACTGGTAGCTATATCATACCCGATCTGTATCCTATACTCAAAGTGAGCTCATTGTCTGAGTCCTGGGTCCTAATGTAGCCAAAGTGTCACCATCCATATACAAGAGAGGTATCAGCAAGCTTGGGAGAACTCAAAGGTTTGCAGAAGTCTTTGAGAAAAATAATAATCCTTTAAGGGACTGAACTTACCAAGCAAAACCAAATAACGTTAATTTAACCAAAATATCTTTTGAATTCTCAAGTCATGTTACAACTTTCTGGCACCCCTCATTTTCGGAAGTTGAAATGTTCAACATGCCCCACCGCACTGCTCCCTGCTAATGCCCTCTTCCTCCTGCGTTCCTCCTTGTGCACCTGAAAAGGTAACAGAGGCATGGATGCCTCATTCCTCTCTCTGAGGAAGTGATCCTCTGACAATTCTTCCTCAAAGTGAGGCATTGAAGGCAAAGTCACCTGGAGAGCACCTGGGCTGCTGCCAATTTGGTGGAATGGCGGGAAATTGCTTTATAAAATAATCGTAAAACTTTCAAGTTACTTATGAACGATAAGCAGTTTATCCCCGCTTCTGATGTGTGGCATGAAGGCTCATAGTTCAAAACTGGATGAGGCAATTACTGTATTTTTCGCTCTATAAGACGCACCAGACCATAAGACACATCTAGTTTTGGGAGGAGGAAAACAAGAAAAAATAATATTCTGAATCTCAGAAGCCAGAACAGCAACAGGGATCACTGCGCAGCGATCCCTCTTGCTGTTCTGGCTTCTGTGATAGCTGCACAGCCTGCATTCGCTCCATAAGACGCACACGCATTTCTCCTTACTTTTTGGGAGGGAAAAAGTGAGTCTTATAGAGCAAAAAATACGGTAGGTAAAGGTAAAGGGACCCCTGACCATTAGGTCCAGTCGTGGCCGACTCTGGGGTTGCGGCACTCATCTTGCTTTATTGGCCGAGGGAGCCGGCGTACAGCTTCCGGGTCATGTGGCCAGCATGACTAAGCCGCTTCTGGCGAACCAGAGCAGTGCACGGAAACACTGTTTACCTTCCTGCTGGAGTAGTACCTATTTATCTACTTGCACTTTGACGTGCTTTTGAACTGCTAGGTTCGCAAGGGGGAAAAACGGTACCTTTCCTTTAATAATAATAATAAAAAGCCTGTTCGGAAATGTGTGCTCTGTGATGTCCTCTTCACAATAAATTACTCTTTATTGGAAAAAGCCATATCCCTGCTGTTTTCTAATGGAAGGGCAATGTTTCAGATCTCTAGATGCAACCCACCATTGAGAACAACCCCTGACATAGTCTGTCGAAAGCCACATGCTACCAAGGCAGTAGTATAAAATCTGTATTAGTTTTGGAGACCCTTTATCTTGCCATTTCAAGACCCTTTGGATTTGTCCCTGGACTATCTAGAAGATAAGGAACTGACCATTCCAGGAAGAAAGCCCCAGATCCAGGACTCTTGCAGAGGAAAATCAAATACTGCGAGATGTTTAGTTTGTTTTGTAACAGATTGATCGAGGAATCAATACAAACTTTCATTTGCTTTGGCTTTTAATGAGACTGGTGTGCTGTGCCTCAGCTGTTCCTTTAATTAGGAATAAAGGCATTACACAACCCGCAACTCAATGGAATAACAGACCAGCTGCTTAAATGGGGGTGTTTCAATCTGATCCTCAACGTCATCAGAGCTAAAAGTCATCTTTAATGTTTCCTTTTACATTTCCAATTCCAGCAGCATTCCAGAACCGTTATCACACTAGACAGACTAACAATATCTTTAACTCTTGATCCCACAGATTAAATGTGGCTCTCGCTGGTTAAAAGTTGATTCATCAGTGAAGCTTCAATAGATTAATCAACTGACTAAACTGGTTCAGCCCACTGCCTTTCTAAAATCCTATTTAAATGTAATTTTAAAAAGCCATTTTAAAAATAAGTAACAACATAAGACAATAACAGTAGAGAACAGCAGCAATACTTGGAGGCATCAGGGCAGGAGTGGGAAGATTTCATGCTTGTCTGATCTTTTGTTGTTGTTTAGTCGTTTAGTCGTGTCCGACTCTTCGTGACCCCATGGACCAGAACATGCCAGGCACTCCTGTCTTCCACTGCCTCCCGCAGTTTGGTCAAACTCATGCTGGTAGCTTCGAGAACACTGTCCAACCATCTCGTCCTCTGTCGTCCCCTTCTCCTTGTGCCCTCCATCTTTCCCAACATCAGGGTCTTTTCCAGGGAGTCTTCTCTTCTCATGAGGTGGCCAAAGTATTGGAGCCTCAGCTTCACGATCTGTCCTTCCAGTGAGCACTCAGGGCTAATTTCCTTAAGAATGGAGAGGTTTGATCTTCTTGCAGTCCATGGGCCTCTCAAGAGTCTCCTCCAGCACCATAATTCAAAAGCATCAATTCTTCGGCGATCAGCCTTCTTTATGGTCCAGTTCTCACTTCCATACATCACTGCTGGGAAAACCATAGCTTTAACTATACGGACCTTTGTCGGCAAGGTGATATCTCTGCTTTTTAAGATGCTGTCTAGGTTTGTCATTGCTTTTCTCCCAAGAAGCAGGTGTCTTTTAATTTCATGGCTGCTGTCACCATCTGCAGTGATCATGGAGCCCAAGAAAGTAAAATCTCTCACTGCCTCCATTTCTTCCTCTTCTGTTTGCCAGGAGGTGATGGGACCAGTGGCCATGATCTTCGTTTTTTTGATGTTGAGCTTTGATGTTTTGCGCTCTCCTCTTTCACCCTCATTAAAAGGTTCTTTAATTCCTCCTCACTTTCTGCCATCAATGTTGTGTCATCTGCATATCTGAGGTTGCTGATATTTCTTCCGGCAATCTTAATTCCGGCTTGGGATTCATCCAGCCCAGCCTTTCGCATGATGAATTCTGCATATAAGTTAAATAAGCAGGGAGGCAATATACAGCCTGATCTACTTTGGCTTTTTTTCTAGCACCCCAAGGCCAACGAAGGAGGAGTAAAGGAGGAGTAAAGGAGTAAAGGAGACGCAGGGTGCTTCCATAATGTTTCTGTTTTCGAGTGGGATTCAGTCACATGTCTGCAAATTTTGGTTGCACAGCTGTAGTTGACTGGGATGTCTTGCACAACAGATCCCCACTCCCCGAGGGAAATGCACAGGGAAGTGTGGGAAGACACTTGAAGCAACATCATTTAACCTGCCCACAAACAGATCAGAATGAATGCTCATTAAATAGTCAATGTCATCTAATTCCCTGCAGACAAGATAGGGAAATAGTGCCAAGCACACAGTCTGAGCTTCTGGTGAGCAAGCTCAGGCATGTCCTACCTTGGTGAGTTCACTTAGTGAAAAAGAACGAACCAAATTCCAAACTGCAAAGCTGTAATGGTTCTCGGGGTTGCTTGTGCGTAAATCGGTGCCACACCTGGCTGGTTGCCTGAGTGAACCCTTTCTGTCTGGACAGCCACTCGCCCGTGGCTGTCTCAATCGCTGGCAGAATCCGTCAGTGGGCGTTTCTTGAACTTCTTCCAGCAAAGAAGCTCTTTGACGCCTAGTCTCCGCCTACTTTCCCTGCGCGGAAGCCTTCTGCGCAGGGAGGGTGTGGGCATCGGAGTGTGTACATGTACATGGAAATTAAGTTTAACATAAACGTAAAAGGAAAAACTTGCAAGGATACAAGATGATATTATAAAGGATATGACTATTAAGTAGAAATAACTGCTAACACAACAAGAAACAATAATACAAATGCCAATAAAATCTCACATGGGTGAGGGGAATTCGGGGGGGAGGGAAGCAGAGGGTGGTACTTGGAAAATTATTGAGAATGTGATATAAAAGCAAAATGATTGTGTTTGTAATTTGAATTATTTTGAATGATTGTGGGGCTTTTTTTCTAGTTTTTACTTCATTTTCTGTCACAAAAACTTTAAATAAAATTTATTTTTAAAAAAGAATGAACCAAGGAGGAAACATAACTTCCTTCCAGGTGAGGAATGTGAGCTAGCTGAGTCTAGGAATGCAGTTCTATGATCTTAACCCCTTCATGCATTAAGTAGCACTAACCTTTCTAGTTATATTTGACTGCCATTTCCCACAATTCAGAGGCATATGGTCTCCAATAGGGGAGGCAGGACACAGCCAGCATGACAAGTAACTTCTGAGGATGTCTGTGAGCACATTTTGAAGTGAAGAGTCCACTCCTGGTTACCCTAAGCTTTCTTTATTTCAGCGGTCTTGGAGGGGAAAGCCGCTTTTTTATTGTTGCTGAAGAATTTTAGATCTACGGCAAACCCCCCAGAGATCTACTAGTTGTACACCTCAATCTTACCTTCTGCCTCCCCTTGCTATAGGGATTCTGAATTGTTACTAGTTATCTTTCTTGTTCTTCTAGAGTTTGATGGAGAATCGGTCGGATGACAGCAGGAACTGTTGTAATCACTGGAGGAATACTAGCGACCGTGATCTTACTGTGTATCATTGCTGTTCTGTGCTATTGTAGGCTACAGGTAAGTATTGGTGCTTTTATGGGTTGTTTTGCTTCTGTATCCAAAGAAAGCGTCATATTTTAGGCAAGAAACAACTCTACTGCAGGTGCACCAGAGTTACATGGTCTTTCAGCAAACATCAGAAGGATGGAGACCATGCATGGCCCAATCTGGATTCATGGCTGTTTAAAGTCCCATGTCCCTGTTTGAATGCCATCCACATTTTATCAGTTACAGATAGGTAGCCGTGTTGGTCTGCCATAGTCAAAACAAAAAAAATTCCTTCCAGTAGCACCTTAGAGGGAGATTTTCCACTGGTGGCAGATGACAGAGACTGTGACACCATGAGACCAGTGTAAAACCAAACCAAAGAAAGGTTTTATTTCAAAACAACAAACAGCAAAGCTTGTGGGTGTTTTTCTTGCAGGCAAAGTTCAAACTGCAGCTTTTATCCTTTTGTAGTCATGGCCAGCTGCAACCAATCAGCCCAGAGCTCACAAAAACTGTTCTTAAAGGTACAAACATCTTTACTGTTTCTATGCAGAATGACTCCCAATAATTTTTGCAGGAGTCCCATAAAGTAGGTCAGTATTATCCCCATATTACAGGTGGCTAAGGTTCAGAGAAAGCATCTTGGTCAAAGGGCACGTGGGTGAGATGACAGTTGGATAAGGGCCTTCCCAGGTCGCAATTCACACTCTCAGCCACCATCAGGGCTGGTCAGACAATTTCTCTGCGTGGATACAGAATTGTGCTAAGTCCAAAGAACCTCATTCCAGTTATGGGTGGGGTGGAAGGCAGAAGTGGGAGGGGCAAAAACCAGGCGAAAGAATTAAGTAATGTAACACAATATGAAGTGAATAAGAAAGAAAATTTTCTTCCAGTGGAACAACTTAAAGCAAACCAAAATAATTTAGAATAAAAACAAATATTTTATGGTACTTCTCTCTGGTAGATAGCTATCTGTCTCTATTTTTGCTTTGTGTATTTGACATATACTCGGAGTCGAGTGTGGATTTCATGCTCTTTATTCAGCTCATAGTAGTGAGGAGGAATTGAAGTTCCCCCAGAATGTCTGCTTTATATACATTATTTACACAATAGGCCCCACGTGATTGGCTAATTCCGGGATTCTCCTGTAGGCCAATCAGGTTGCGGATCCACTTCCACCTGGAGTTGGATTGGGTGGCTCCTGCAGACCAATCAGACTGCTGCATTCTGGATCCTATTGTTCTAGGACCAATCAGATGCTGCAATTTGTATCCTATTGTTCTAGGACCAATCAGACTGCTGCAATTTGGATCCTATTGTTCTAGGACCAATCAGACTGCTGCAATTTGGATCCTGTTCAACTCAGTTCATAACAGTATTTTTTTTTCATTACAAGAAAACATTGTTGACAGTGCAGGTCTTTGCAAGACTGTAATCTTAATAATAATAATAATACACAACACTACCAAACTACGAAACACTATAAACTACTGCTTCATTCAGTCCAGAATGTTTCTCCATATCTCTTTGCAGAAGTCAAAAGGCGTTATATATGAATTGGCATCTTCTGTATACATGCATAATTAACATATAGAACATTTAGACCTATAAACGTTGCCACTGATTTTCAGGCATAAACTTACGCAGGGGACCTTTCGCCTCTACCATTCGCAATGGAAGGAACTTTGGTATGCTCAAGTCATGGCCTGCCATTTCGTCCTGCATGGTGAATCTTTGCCCTCAAACGCAGAAGCGCCACATGTGCAACGCATATCTTCCTTCCTTCCTTCCTTCCTTCCTTCCTTCCTTCCTTCCTTCCCTCCCTCCCTCCCACAAACTCACGTTCACAGAGCCACTCTCAAAACCTCTTCCAGCAGTATTCTAGAGCCACAGAGCTCACAGCCTGCAGCTGTCCCAAGCCTTTGTGCATTGATCTCTCCTACTGCGCTCCCCACCACACTCTGAGCATCCAGCGGCATCTCAGTGGCGGGGGGAAAAGGGAAGGTGCCTGGCAACTGGCCAAACTTCTGTGCCCAAGAAGGCGTTTTAATTTCCCATGCCTGGTGTTATAAGAAAAACACCTCTTAATTCCCTTAAGGGGTACCCAAGAGCCCATATAGAGTCCTTATGTAGGTTCTCTATCGGTAGGAGAAAATAACAGAGGCCAACCTGAGAATATTGAGAAGCAAGCCTGATCTTAGCAGGGACGCGGGTGGCGCTGTGGTCTAAACCATGAAGCCTAGGGCTTGCCGATCAGAAGGTCGGCGGTTCAAATCCCCGCGACGGGGTAAGCTCCCGTTGCTTGGTCCCAGCTCCTGCCAACCTAGCAGTTCGAAAGCACGTCAAAGTGCAAGTAGATAAATAGGTACCACTCCGGCAGGAAGGTAAACAGCGTTTCCGTGCGCTGCTCTGGTTTGCCAGAAGCGGCTTAGTCATGCTGGCCACATGACCCGGAAGCTGTACGCCGGCTCCCTCGGCCAATAAAGCGAGATGAGCGCCGCAACCCCAGAGTCGTCCGTGACTGGACCTAATGGTCAGGGGTCCCTTTACCTTTAATCCTGATCTTTATCAAACTGTTGCAACAGGGTCCCCACTCCCCACATGCAGGAGGAAGGAGGAACCCAGAATCTTGGTGTGCGAGCTCTTATATAGACTTTTGAAACTGCCCACCCTGGAGCCCAAGACCACCCACCCAAAACATCATACATACATCACAGAAGGAGGCGGTCAACAGCAGTGGAGGTGGTCTACAGCTGAAATCCTGTTTGACAGGGTACCTGATAATGGTCACGGATTGCATTACCTGGGCAGCCTGGCCATTCTTTTGTGATGGTAAATACTCAGTTCCTGAATCCAGGTCACAGGCTCACCCTATTCATACACAGATGCGCCCTTAAGACAGGATTTGTGAGCAAAGAGACAATGGGGAGGTTTCCCCATTTCCTCAGAGAAACATTTGAGGTCAATTTGGGAGAGTCAAAATGGTTTCAGGACTATTTTCCTGTCCTGTTTCAGACAGGTGCTTTATATATTTACATATGTGTTTGCCTGGTGCATTTATGAACATTTATTTTATATTTTAGACCTTATAATTTTCATTAATCATAGGATGCCCAGGGAGAGGGTTTGCCCAAAACGGCCTCATAGGCTCAACAGAGAGACTATGGTGGCCGCCACTATACTAAAGGTAAAGGGACCCCTGACCATTAGGTCCATTCGCAGACAACTCTGGGGTTGCGGCGCTCATCTCGCTTTATTGGCCGAGGGAACCGGCTTCTGGCTCATGTGGCCAGCATGACTAAGCCGCTTCTGGTGAACCAGAGCAGCGCACGGAAACGCCATTTACCTTCCCGCCGGAGTGGTACCTATTTATCTACTTGCACCTTGATGTGCTTTTGAACTGCTAGGTTGGCAGGAGCTGGGACCGAGCAACGGGAGCTCACCCCATCGCGGGGATTCGAACCGCCGACCTTCTGATCGGCAAGCCCAAAAGGCTCTGTGGTTTAACCCACAGCGCCACCCGCATCCCTCTTGCCACTATACTAAAGACATGCTAAGCATTATTATATTTTTAATGCCCTTTTGTTTTTGCGTGTGCCACCTAACCCCAGTTCTTTCCCTCCTGCTTTAGTATTATTGCTGCAAGAAGGATGACACTGATGAAGAGGAAGAGGAGGAAGAGGAGGAGGAGCAGGAGGAGACTGACCTTCCTTCGCACTCGCACTATGCCATGTGCAACGCTTGCAACTCTCGCATCATGGACGGGCAGGGCAACTCCTCTTTCCCTCCCCATGAGATTAACAAGCCAGGCAATCGGAACCATTGCCCGACCTGCTCCCCCTATGGCTCCCCCTTTTACATACGGACCGCTGACCTGGTGCGTAACGGGGGCGAGAGGATCACCTACATGCCTACATGCTGCAAAGAAATGGGGCTGCCCCTCAAAATGGCTGGCCTCCAGAGTTTCCCGGTGACCCATCACCATTGCATCATCCACGAGACCTTTCCCAACTCGAGGGCTTTCAGTACAGAAGTCTGATCACAATCGGTTACGGCCGTAGGGTGCTTCGGTTTGATCCCCTTGGGGCAGCGGGGATTGCTACGGAAACCTTTCAACAAAAACGGAACGTGCATCTAAGACCCAACATTGTTCCCGATCGCCGCAGCAAGGCTCTTCTTACTAAGAGGGAAAGTGGTGACATTGCGCCCAAGACATTGAACTTGGCGGTTTCTGAACCTGCAAACAGTGTTGGGTCCACTGAAGGGTCTTGTCTAAGGAGGGCTATGTACAGTACAAACTAACTTGTATTTAAACACTCTTCCAGGTTCACCCTGACCCCCACAAACATATTTGGTGTCTACCTGTAGAAATCCCTACTTGTCCCTCTCTCTCTCTCCAAAGCAATAGCTACTGGTCTCCCTTGACAGGTCATATGAGTGCATACTAAGTCAGCCAACACACCATTTATTGTACACTGTCCTACCCAGTAATGATGGTGGCATTAGCGAGAAGGATGGCAAAATCCTTGCTAAACTCACTTCCAGTGCTGCTGTTCATTGGAAGTAGAGAGGAGGAAAACAAATAAATGGAATTAATATCCTTGTAATATAATAGTTACAAACGGAATGCTATTCTCTGTACTAGAATGTAAAAATAGGTGAACCATTCTCTGCTTATTACACAAACACACACACACACACACACACACACAAGCACGTAATATGCAAAAGATAAAGGAAAGGAACTGGGAGATTGGGAAGTGGTGCAATTACTAGCATTCTGCATTTGGGTGGCTTTTCTATTGCAAAAAAAAAAAAAAGACTCTGTTCTCTCAATTTCCTTAACTCTCACAGGCTTTCATAGACATGATGACTTCTGACATCCACAAACTGCACCACTGAGGAGTTAGTGGCCTCTCGTCCACCTCCCTTTCCCTAGTATTCGAAGCCCATGTTTAGGGCAACCTCCTGATACACCTTTGATGAAACTGCAAAATATAATATTTTTTTATAAGTAAGTCCTGATATGGAATGCGGAGGATGACGACAAACCATGTTTCACAAGGCTAAGGAGGGCCATGGGTGAAGTGAGTGTTGAAAGCTAATGCCAAGCCTGACAGCTTCATGAAAGTTGCAAGACAAGATCATGCGCCTCTTTAAAAAGAACTCTGGATTTGCAGAAGGATTTGTACTGGGTTGCGTTATGGATTTGTTTCTCTTACAATGTTTGCAATTTCACCCTTTGTTATTTGTCAAGTGTTGTTTCTGTATTTGAATTACTAAGGGCTCGATCCGCCCGGGAGGGTCTCTCAGGGTCCAGCTTTGCATGGAAGGTGTCTCAGTTTGCCATTTTTTCCCAGATGTTTGGACCCTGCCCAGCTGAATAAGCACAATGGCCCACTGCCCTTTGTAGCGCTTAAATGTTGGCTCTCATCATTTATAGCACATTGAAAGCACAAGGTTTTGCCTAAAGGATCCTGGGAACTGTAGCTTACCCCTCACAGAGCCACAACCCCCAGCACCCTGAACAAGCTACAGTTTCCAGGATTCTCAGGCAGAAATGATGCACTTTCAGTGTATAGTGTGTGAGTGAGATGGGCATGATCTGGAATCTGGATGGTAGCACTTCACCCTGATAACCATGGCTCCACTGGTGATAAAATAGTTTCTAGATGGCCACTTCAGATTGCATATAGACCTAGAATGTCAGCAGGAAGCTTTCATTCCAAGCAAACGCTTTCTCATGCAAAAACCCCTTGCGTACAGAAAACGAGCATGTTAGGGAAGGGGGAGGAGTACAGCACACACATTGCAACCGCAAGGTCCCAGATTCAATGCCTGTCATCTACAGATAGGGCTGGAAAAGTCTCCTGTCTAAAACCCTGGAGAACAGCTTCCGTTCAGTAGAGACAATGCTGGACTTTTCAGGATCTGACACAGATGGACCAATGCGCTGAGTTAGGATAAGATAGCTTTCCGAGTTCCTAAGGTTTTCTAAAAACCATTTCCAGTGTAAGAAGTCCCTGCCCACGGAAAATTAGTTCTGTAATGTAAGAATATTTTTGGAACAGTCATACCACCGCCTACTTGCATACTGAAGCAGCAACGATTCTAACACCCAATGAGCTCTTTATAGAGTTTCTACACAAGTGGGAGTTCTGATGTATAAAACTGGTGGCTTCCATATGCGGGAGAAGTCTCTTGGACTTCTATATGCAAATATGCCCAAACAAGGCTTGGTTGGTGAAACACTAACATTGGCAGCATGGTAGGTAATTGGAAAGGGGACGCAGGTGGCTCTGTGGGTTAAACCACAGAGCCTAGGACTTGCCGATCAGAAGGTTGGCGGTTCGAATCCCCACGACGGAGTGAGCTCCCGTTGCTCGGTCCCGGCTCCTCCCAACCTAGCAGTTCGAAAGCACGTCAAAGTGCAAGTAGATAAATAGGTACCGCTCCAGCGGGAAGGTAAACGGCGTTTCCGTGCACTGCTCTGGTTCGCCAGAAGCGGCTTAGTCCTGCTGGCCACATGACCCGGAAGCTGTACGCCGGTTCCCTCGGCCAATAAAGCGAGATGAGCGCCGCAACCCCAGAGTCAGTCACGACTGGACCTAATGGTCAGGGGTCCCTTTACCTTTACCTAAGTAACTGGAAAGACTGAAGCGAGTGTGAAAGTGAAAGATTGGGCTGGAGGCATGGATGGATGGATGGACTGGGAGCAGCATTCCCCTCCTTCACCGCGATTGCGTTCCCAGTCATACTGGGTGTGTTCTGCTGGCCACATAGCCCCTCCTCTCTTCCAAACTTCAGCCCCTAGAACAGTGGTCCCCAGTTAAGTAAGTACTGCAAACCCTCTGCTTTACAAAAGGCAAGCTACAGACCCCCTACTTTTGAAAGGTTTTCTCTCTCTATGGTGGTTTTCATTATGTGAATGGTGCTACGGATCCCCTGGGTGGGTTACATGGACCCCCTGAGATGTGCGGACCACAAATTGGGAACCACTGCCCTAGGGGCTTCCCACAATCTCTTGCTCAAAGATGCATTTGTCAAAGCAAGGCAGTTTTCTGGACTTGTCTGGAGTTCAGGGGTGCGAGAAGAGGCACCCAGCCAAGACCTTGCCCATCTTAATTTCTCAGAGGCATATTAACATATGCAAATGCCATGTGAAAAAATTGTGCCCTGGGTCTTGTTTGGGGCCCCTTTAAGTACCTACTGACACCTCTGCACATACTGTACTCCAGGCATAGGCAAACTCAGCCCTCCAGATGTTTGGTACTACAATTCCTAACATCCCTGACCACTGGTCCTGTTAGCTAGGGATGATGGGAATTGTAGTCCCAAATATCTGGAGGGACAGAGTTTGCCTATGCCTGCTGTACTCGTAGCAAGCTCACGGGTGCGGGCGGGGGGAGGTGTTTAAATTTTTGAGACACTTGAAACAAGAATTACATAACATTTACAACCTGGTTACACAGAGTTGCTCATCTGGAGAGCCTGGTGTGGAGTGAGAGCAACCATTTCACCCAGAAGTCAGTCCCATTGCCTCAGCTGGGATTTACTATCAGGAAATGCGCATGGGATTGCAGCCTCATTCTGCTTTAGCAAAACATGCCAAAATCTTTTGGCACTTGCAAGACATTGGGGTCCTGAGCTTTGAGCCTGTTTCATCAGATCCCTGCAGAGGTCTAGAACGGGTTGCGGGCGGCGGGGGGGGGGGAGCAAATGTGCAAACAAGAGCCTCAAATGTACATTTAGAGTCACAGGTGATCTGTCCTAAAACAACCTGCTAATTTTGCAAATCCACCCACCTTGGTTATGTACAGCTTTGTGAGCTGTCAACAGTTCTTGGAACCTGCAAACCATCTGAGGACTCACTGAACTTCCTCTGTGGAGAGTTTTTTTACACACTCTCTCTCTCTCTCTCTCTCTCTTTCCACACTGAATATTTCCTTGCTGGGAAAATAGGCACAATCCACCAAATGTTAGTCATGACTAACACCCAGAAAAATGAGGTGGTTAACTGGGCCATGCTGCTAATCTGCACTGGAAGGATGCAATTTTAAAATGTCCGTTTTGTTTTGTTTTGTTTTGTTTTGTTCTGTTCTGTTTTAAACCTGCACTCCAGGAGAAAACTAACCTGGTAAGGAGATAGGCTTTATCCTAGCTAATTCTACCACCTCCTCCTGACTTATACTGAATGTGTAGCTCCTGCTAAATTCCAGTGAAAGCAACACAATGGGACTGATGGAAATCCATTATATACATCGCGCTACATGAAAATGAAGACCGATCCACACATAAAAATGGCTTCCAATTGGTTTCTGGGTACGATTCAAAGTCCTTCAACTGACCTATTTGCCCTAAGCCAGCCTTTGTCAACCTAGTGCTGCCCAGATGTCCTGGACTACAAGTCCCATTAGCTCTAGCCAGCATGGCTGATAGGAATTGCTATTCAAGGAGGAGGGCATTAGGTTTGCTAAGGCTGCCTTAAACAGTCTGGGAGGAGGGCTAACCTTCTCCCATGTGATCCTGCCAATTATATCATTATTGGAGACCTGTTTTGGATGTCCTCACCACCAGAGGTTGGGTGAGTAGCAAGCAAGGACAAGGCCTTCTCATCTGCTCGAAATGTCCTCTTGGCATCCACTCTCCTTTTCCAGTGCCAAGTAAAAGGCGAATAAGACGACTTTTCTTAAATCACCTTTGGCTGCTGTTACTCTGACTGCTTTGTCTGATACGCCATTCCTCAATAGTTGCATTGTTTTTATTTTATTTTGTCAGCTGCCTTGAGAAATGTTTTAAATATCTAAATAAGAATCCTCCTTTCATGATGCACATAAAGGAGAAGTTTTTAGCTTAGCCGTTTCCCTGGTGTGCTAAATTAGCGCATGATGGGAAGTTCTTGGTTTTTTAAGCTAAAATAAAAACAAGGCACACATCCTTCCACTGGTCGCTGGATATGGTACAGTTCACACCCCTCCTGCTGAGTAGTCACATTGCGGTGCCATCAGAATTGCAGCAGCCATCGAGGTACCAAAGGACTGGCATTGCAAAGACAGGAGCTGCAGTTTGGGTTCCCGCCATGCGGTCCAAGCCTTCTCACATTACTAAAAGGAGTGTAGCTGCACAGACTCATCTGCCTCTGTTGTAACATGGATACAGACATTGCTGGACTACAACCCCCTCAAAACAAATTCAATACCTTGCTACGCAAATACAGTTATCACAATACACAAAGCGCAACGGGCTGAATAATAATTACTGTGAACATTTTATTATTTCCTAACGTAAAGGTCTAGCCCAGGATGTGCAACATATACAGTTCATATATATATGGTATATGTTGTTGTTGTTTAGTCATTTGGTCGTGTCTGACTCTTTGTGACCCCATTGACCAGAGCACGCCAGGCACTTCTGTCTTCCACTGCCTCCCGCAGTTTGGTCAAACTCATGCTGGTAGCTTCGAGAACACTGTCCTACCATCTCGTCCTCTGTTGTCCCCTTCTCCTTGTGCCCTCCATCTTTCCCAGCATCAGGGTCTTCTCCAGGGAGTCTTCTCTTCTCATGAGGTGGCCAAAGTATTGGAGCCTCAGCTTCAGGCTCTGTCCTCCCAGTGAGCACTCAGGGCTGATTTCCTTAAGAATGGAGAGGTTTGATCTTCTTGCAGTCCTCTCAAGAGTCTCATCCAGCACCATAATTCAAAAGCATCAAATCTTCAGCGATCAGCCTTCTTTATGGTCCAGCTCTAACTTCCTTACATCTTTTCTTATTGTTTCTTCTTGCGAGTTCCTGTATAACACGATCCTTAGGTGAAAACAGAAAAGTCCTCAAGGTAACGAGAACAACACAGCTGATGTAGACTGCTTGCACAAGCTGACTGGTGCAGCTACAAACAATAAGAAAGCCTCAGGATTGTGTTATACAGGAACTCACAAGAAGAAACAATGAGAAAAGAAAAGAAGAAATGAACTATCATAGGTTATATACCATATATATGAACTGTATACCGGTACGTTGCACATACTGGGATAGACCCTTACGTTAGGAAATAATCAATAAAATGTTCACAGTTATTATTATTCAGCCTATTGCGCTTTGTGTATTGTTGACTACAACTCCCATCATCCCTTACCACTGGCGATGCAGCTGGGGCTCATGGGAGCTGAAGTCCAACATCTGGGGGGTGCAGTGTTGGCTACCCCGATGCAGCACGTGGATCACATGGCTACCCAGCATAACGG